CAAATAAAATGAAAATCGCCAAAAAAATTGTCAATGCTGATATGCCTTCTACTAGTCGCACAGCTGAATTTTCAAATTTACATACCGATTCTTTTGAGCATACACCTTCCAGCAGTAACCCAAATCATACGGAGTTAGTAGAAGTTCGTAGCAACTTACAACAGAGCAAGGTAGCAAATCCTAACATTTCTATAAGTAATTGTTCAAATTGTGTTATTAGTATAAAATTATAAGTGTGAGGATCTTATGTTTGGGCTTTCAAAGTTATAATTTCTTTATTAAACTCATACTTTGTTAATTGTACCAAATATTTCCATGATAATAAATAATAATAATAAAGTTTGTTTTACTAACTACATGTGAATTTTTAAAAGAAAAAAAAAAGAAAGTCCGCGGGCGGTAAAGTGACACTTTACGCCCGCTAAACGTATTTATAATCTGGACTTTATCGCCCGGTCGTGCATAAAGTATAGTTATTTCAGATATTTTTGTATCTAACTATGACAGTTGTGGTACTCCAGCTACTAAGACGTGCTCACGTTGCATTTAGTTAAAAGAAATGATGGTGAAAAATGGCTGGAACTTCTGAAAAAAAAAACGATGATCATCTCATTGCATTGAGAGTGCACAAAATTAGCGCGAAAGTTTTTTAAAATGCTCTTAAAGCAGAGGTTAGCAAACAAGTTACTTACTCCTTTGAATGTCAAAAAAATATGGTGCTACCCAAAATACCAGACCAACAATGTTACTTAAGTAGGCTAAACAACACACAGATAACACATTCACTTATACAAAAGGATCTAATTAGATTGTTTCATGTGTCCATGATCGTCTAAAGATACAAATTTGGCACCAGGTCAGTCAGGTATCAGGTTATTTGCGGACGGCTGCGGATGCCAAAATTCATCATTAATAGGAATGTTGACCAAGTGGCTCCTTAAAGAAGTACCAAGCAAAGTCAAAACATTGTCCGTCTATTTTCCAACACTCCTACATGCCCCCAGACAGGGTATTTGATCGAATCGAAACACAAGTTAACAAAATGAAACTATAATTACACCAGAAGAATACCATGAAAATCTTTTTTCAATTTGGTACTGTAAAAAAAAACAAAATCGATTGAATTTTTTTGACCGGAAAAATGCAGTTGCACAAGTTTTGAAGAAAACATTTTAAATGCAGTTGCACAAGTTTTGAAGAAAACATTTTAAATTTGCTCCAACAAAAAGATTCATCTTACAATGAAATAAGGGAGGAAACATTCTAGTAAGAGGAAAGAAATTTTAGAACTTCGTCACAAGCAAATTAAAACATATCACACAGTCCACTAATGTGGAGACTAACCGTAGATGAACTTCTACATAGATTGAATGACCTCGGCATATCCTGTCAAGGTTAGGCTGCCGACAGTCATATTTGCTAGAGACAAGTTCAGAAATATCCTGTGGTGGGTGGGTTAAGTGGTAGAACATGATCTGTAAATGGTCAACCATTTACAAAGGATGAACTTCGCCCATTTAAAAAGTAGCAAAGAGGACTAGAACACACCAAAAGATGGTACTGTGCGGTGGGACTTTTTTAAAGGAAAAGAAAAATTCAATCTCAAAACCGTCAGGTTAGACGGGCTAGATAGAGAATGGAAAAATGAAGACAAATAACTAGGCCTAACACTGGACAACAAACTTCTCTGGAACATACATGAGGGCTGAATTCGGCTTGGTGTTCACTGTACTCAGAGTGCACTGGGTATGCCTCAATTGTGGTCGTCTTGACACTTGGAACGTAGTCTTTTGTGTTCGACTTGCCACAGAGCCCGCTCACTCTTTCCCAAGTTGGCTGGCGGAAATCAACGGGTATCTCTAGGAATGCGTCAAAAATGTCAAAATTCTAATCTATGATTAATCAGTTTTATAGCAGAAGTAAAAGTTGGAAAGGCTTTTGCCAGTTCTCCCACTTATATACATAAATTGACAGGTTTGCGGCGGATCTCACCTAAGCGGACGCGATACATTGGCGTACAAAATTATTTTATAGATGTTAATAACAATTTCGAGTTAATAGTTTAATAAATTGTGAATAGCTGTTGAAATTTTGTAAAATTATGATTTGGATATTATAATACATGTTTAATAATTATTTATAGTCCATAAATACATGCGATTGTCCGGTTCCGCCGATAACAATTTAAAATTACTTATTTTATGAAACGACACTGGCAGATAAACATTACTGCGAAATTCTCGAAGCCGTCCGACGTGGTTTGACGTTTACCCCCTCTCTACCTACCAAAAGCCTTTCCAACTTTTACTTTCGCTATACACGCATTATTTCTTGTTTGTTTTTGTTATAACTATTTTCTATTTCATTAAAATTAATTTTTTACAGTGCATACACACACACAAAAGTGTATCACTAGTGTCATTTGTCATTCCACTTGTGTTCGTCTTGAGATTATAAAAAGAGTGAACTCTGTCTATGACGTCACGTACTCCGTGCGCGCTCTATCCAAACCGTCGAGTTCCAAGCCGAACTTGCCCGAGAAGGAAGTAGTAAATAATAATAGTGATGGAACTTTTTATGAAAAGTAATTTTTGGACTAGTCCGATGGACATGTCCGGAAAAGAGTGAAAAGTAATGAAGTCACAATGAAAAATAGTCGATCTAGAGCATAGAAGACACACAGTTAAATCTCCATCCTTGATGTTTTTTTTTAAATACTTTGGAAACAATATTTTCATTTGTATTTTCCTTTCTTTAGGCAAATCATTTGTAAAATACTAGTAATTTTTTACGAGTTTATTTTAATATGGTGTAACGAAAATTCGAAAACATGGTTAAAACATATAAAAGTCAGTAATCATTTGTCGTTTCTTCTTTTTTTAAACTATATTTTCTTAATTTAATTTTGCGCTTGCGTAATACACTTTTTCACTTTTGAAAAGTGTGTCTGGACTAGTCAACTTTTCAGACTAGTTCGTCGGACTTGTCCGTGGACTTTTCCAAGCGACCCATCAATGGTAAGTAATGCCACAAAAGCCCTAATAGTATGCAGAAACATTGGTTTACCACTTTTATTAAATTATATAATCTTTATGTATCACAAAAAAAGTCTTAATTTACTTTCAGAAAGACAAACAACAAATGTACAATAAATTTCAATTTCAAATAAATTATTTGGCTCATCACATGACTTAACTGCAACGAAGTAAGGAAGGAAACAGTCTAGTAAGAGGGGAGACATAACATACACGCAAATCAAAACTTACCACAAAGCCAAACAAAAGTCCTGTGAAATCAACCCAGAAAATAATGCTTCAGGTGTTCTATCGAAGCCTGCGAAAGCTTTTGATGTGAAGAAACTCCTGGAAAAACATTTTAGACCACAAAGGGAACATTTGGATTTTTATGAAACTGCCTTAACCATTGAAGGACACAGAGAAGAGACGGACAAAGAACAGGATGAACCCGTTGACGATATAAAATTGTTTGTATGAAATTTTTAGCTTACATGTGTATTATTTAGGTGTTTTAATAAATAATTCGTTAACCAAAAACGAGTACCTACTTCATTAAAGTAACTTTTTTGTTGGTAAAAGATGATTAGTATTTTTTTTTTTTAACTGGGTCTAGTCCCCTACTTGTTGCAGCAAAATGAGTCTTGTCCAAGATGTAGTTTCATTTATTTTACATAGTTTTTACCTACATTTGTCATATTTGAATGATTTGGGTGTGAGGAAATAGTTTCAATTGCATCGAAATAAACGCGCAATACATAATCACAAAGTTTTCATGTCAAACTTCTTTTTGAATCTGCATTCCTTAATAAATAATAATTTTTTGTTAATAAGTATTTAACTTTTAGACCCTCTTAGACCGTTTTTTTTTAAACAAAATAAATAGTACATGCGATGAGCAATTTTATGCTTTATCAAATAAAGGAATTAAAATTGATTAAAAAAGCACAATAATAAAAAAGCTTATTCTACTGTCTTTTTAATAACAAAAATTTGTATTGTAATGCCATGCTAGTTACCATTTTCTCGCTCCTATTCGGAAGGGCGACTATAGGACTTACTTTCTCCATGAAATTTTTTTGGGGGAATACAAAATTTTCAAACGACCAGGCTCTTCTTGAAAATACAAATTTTAGCCAATTAAATTTGGTATCACATTTCTGACTTGTGAAAAAATCCGACAAAAATCATCTTAAAAATAGCAATAAATAAAGACTGAATATAAGAAACGATCAAATTAACACGAATTTCAAGTTTTTCAGGAAAAAAAATTGCAGCCAAAATAAAAGTTGAAAGTCAAAAAAGATCAATGAAACTTGAATTAAAAATTACTGAGTAAAAAATGCGCTGCAGAAAATATCGTATCTTAAACATAGCAATTAATAAAGGTTAAAGGACAAAACGATTAAAAAAATATAAATTACAAATTTTCCAGAAAATAGAAACATGTGGCAAAGAAAACCGCGAAACCCAAAACAGCCAAAAAAGAAGTTGAATGTCAAAAAATAAGCAAAGCCGCAAAATATTGCTTATCTTAAAAAAATATCAATAATGAAGGCTGATTGAACTATAAAACGATTAAATAATCACTATGATTTGTAAGTCATCTCAAATAATACTAAACTTGTATGTCAGAAAAGTAACTTCAACCATCAAAATGGCAGTTTTTTAAAAATAAAAAGGCCTGGTTTGAAAATAAAAGATGATTAAACTTTCCACGATTTTTAAAAAGCCTATTTCAAGAATAACGAGAACTATTTAGAAAAAAAAAACTATTTTATATATCGGTACTTTCCTTGATCACCAAAATGAAATACGAAAATCTTTAACTGTTTTATAAAAAATTTAAAGTTATACTCTCAAATTTCTCAGTTACAGTCGATTCAAAATAACTGTAAGACAATTTAAAAAAAATGTTCATAGTATATTAATGTAACGTTTTAACAATCCAATAATAAATAAAAGGAAAAAAAAAGAGAATAGCACTTAGACAAGAGAGAAGCCTTCGGTTTGCTGTATAGCTTGCATCAATTTGTACTTGAGGCGTTCTTTAGTACGATACTTCGGCAGGTCGAGTAAGTTGAAACACGTATGGGCGACGGGCAGGAACTTCTCGTCGTTCGTCGGTTGGATGAAAATCTAAAATATTTATAAACAAAAAAGATATAGATATATTTTAATGAATACCAAAATTCAATTTATTTCTAGGGGGGAAACGTAGGGTGAAAGTTGGTATGGAAGTATCGGTTTTATAAAGGTAGGAACTTGAAAATTGGAATTGTAGCCACCCATCATTAATAAATAATGACGTACTTCAGGACTTTTGGATTTTTACATTTTAAAGGGAAGAAAGAGTGAGGGGGGCTCGTTTGTAGGTATCGAATCATCAAATTTTTTAAAGGTAGGAACTTAAAAATTGGAATTGTATCTAGGGTCAGAGTGGCAACAGTGGTGCATGTGTAAACAGTGGTGCAGTGGGTGTATTGGCATTCTTGTTCGTTCCCTGCGCATGTCCTTTTTATAATGCGTACCATGTTTACATTTTTTTTTTATCTAAGTTAGTGGCACTGGATATAAACCAACAGGCCAGTCAATTGTCAGTTGAACAAATAAAAATATCATATAACAAACTTTATTATTTTACAAATTATATTAAAGTTGCTCTACCTTAATAACTAAAAATAACCTAACTTAATAGGGTTTTTTTTATTTTTTTTTTATTATTTTTTTATTATTTTTGTTTTTTTTTATTTTTGTTTTTTGTTTTTTTATTTTTTGTTTTTTTTTTTTCTATTTTCCTCTTTTTTCTTTTCTTTTTTTATTATTTTTGTTTTTTTTTTATTTTTGTTTTTTTTTGTTTTTTTATTTTTTGTTTTTTTATTTTTTGTTTTTTTTTTTCTATTTTTCTCTTTTTTCTTGTCTTTATTTGTTTTCTTTTCTTAACAATTTTTTCGAGTCAGGTGTACAAATTTTTTTTATTGGTAGCATCGCTACTTACATGTTTTATTTCTATTTCCTAATTACAATTTTAATTTGAGTGTTTTGACGAAATTATAGAGTATGTTATATATACTGTCAAATGTCAGTAGATTTTTTAAATTTATAGGTAACTGAATTTTGTTGTTAATTAGGTTTTGATATAATAAATTAATTTCTAAATCGTTTAGAATACAATCCAAAAATATATGTTGTAAATCAGCAATCTCATCACAAATACACAAATCATTATCTATTATACCTATTCGCTTCATATATTGAGGGTATAAAGCATGATTAGTTCTAATTCTGCTAATCGTTTGGATTAGTGGTCTATTTGACAGCTTATCAAACCACGGTTTTACCCTTATATTAGGTTGAATAGATTTATAAAAATTACCTGTTTCCTTCTCTACATTTTGCTTGCCAATTTTGATCCCTTTTATATTTGAAACAAGTATTTAGATCGGATAGGGGGATTTTAAAATTACTTATGTAATTAAGTTTTGTTGCAGTTTTAGCCAAAAAGTCTACTTTTTCATTATTAGGTATTCCCATATGGGCTTTGACCCAAGATATGTATATTCGTTTATCCTGATTTCTTGCCTCAAAATTTAGTTTTAAAATGTCCAGAATTATGTAATTAACTTTAGAATTGAAATTAAAATTTTGAAACTTTTGAACTAAACTTTTGCAGTCTGTGAAAATGACAAAATTTAATTCCTCTTGATTGATGTTTACATTGGTCAAGTATGGACTATTCTAATTTTTGCTGCGGATAGATAACGTTGTATTGTAGACAATTGTTTAATTTTGTGGTATGGTTCTTTTTTTCCGGGCGTACGAGTTATTTTCAAATATCTTCAACAGTTTTAAAAATATCGCAGGTAAGAGTAATTTGCGATATAATATGATCATATACGATTTCTATTTAAACAAATTATTATCTGTGTATGGTTTGATTACGTTTGTAATTGAATTTATAATTAGGATCGCGTGAAGGTACAGAGTGGCTCATATTAAAGGGGTACACAGTGGCTCGTGCGCCACTGTGTACTCTACTAATTAAATAGATGTAATATATTTTTTTTTCAACAGAATGCCGCGAGCAAAGACGGAGAGAAAAATTGGAAACCATACAGATAATGATATGAGAAAGGCTTTGCAAATCATACATAGCAGTGAAAGCATAAGAAAGGCTGCTAAAGAATTAAAAATAGCGGCTACCACTATAAGACGTTATTATAATAAGTTGATAATCCTGAAACTGAGTTTAGTTCCAAAATATGATATAAATAAGGTTTTTACTAATGCACAAGAACGAGACTTAAAACAGTATTTTATAGATTGCTCTTTGATGTTTTATGGTCTTACTACTGATGATTGCCGTCAAGTCGCTTATCAAATGGCGAAAATAAATAATATTAAAATGCCCAAAAATTGGGAAGATCGTTCGAAAGCCGGAATAGATTGGCTAAAAGGATTCCGGAAGAGACATGCAGAACTGTCGTTACGTAAACCGGAGCTTTGTAGCTTAGCCAGGGCAACTGCATTTAATAAAGCAAATGTTAAAACTTTCTTTGATAATCTTGAGAAGCTCATTAAAAGACACCCAAATGAATTTTCTGATGGTACCAGAATCTAAAATTTAGATGAAACCGCAACTTTCACCGTCCAAAATCTCCAAAAAGTAATAACACTTAAAGGGCATAAAAATGTAGGTAAGGTCACAAGTGGAGAAAAGGGGGCCCTTGTAACAACTTGCTGTATTATTAGCGCCAGTGGACAATCTTTACCTCCCGTTATGGTTTTCCCGAGGAAACACTTTAAAGATCACATGATTAAGGGTGCCCCTGCAGGAACATTGGGATTAGCAGCTCCAAGTGGTTGGATGAACAGCGAACTTTTTCTACCAGTCATTAATCACTTCATTAAACATGCATTTTAATAATGGATAACCATGAATCCCATTTATCAATAGAAGCACCAGATAGAGCAAAGGCATCATAGGAGTTTATATACTGATACTTCATCCTCTGCTAAACTACAGCCCTTATATGTCAGTGTGTTTGCACCATTTAAATGTTTTTATTAATAACGCTTTAGATTCGTGGCTCTTTACACATCCAGGAAAACCACTCACCATTTATGAAGTCGCAGAAATTGTAGGAATAGCTTTCATTAGAGCAATGACACCTTTAAATATCAAAAAAAGTGGTATTTTCCTATTTGATCGGGATGTGTTTACGGACATAGATTTTTTACTGAGTACAGTAACCGATCGTCCCGTTCCTGATGTATCTGCCAATAAAAGTAAACCAACTCAGTCTGGATCCCAATCTTGTTCAACAAAACCCTCAACTTCCTCTGATATAACTGTTATATCTGATGCATTTCATCTCGATTTAGCCCTACTCAACTAACTGTTTCTCGTTTATCTGATCTTCCTGTGGAATCGCCTCATTCATTTACAACTGAAATCTGTTATTCCATCACTGCAGTTTGAACCCAATTCAAAGTTCATCCCAATTCACAAAGTTCATCTGTTTAAACTTACGTATCACCGCAACAATTTCGAGAATCTCTGAAGGCTGGTCCAAAACAAAATAAACGAAAGCCACGAAAATTAGGAAGGAGTATGATTGCTACGGACACTCCCGAGAAAAATGAAATTGAAATGGAAAGAAATGCAGCTAAAAGAACAAAGGGCACTAAAAAAATAAAAACGCAAAAGTGGTTCGACAAGTTCTAAAAAGTTACTCTGAAGACGAAATTGAAGAAACTTTGTCACTATGTGATTCTGATGACAATTGGTGCGATGACAAAAACATAGAAAACTGTGATCATGATCCTGTCTTAACGGAGAAGGATCTTGAATTACCATTATCACGGATACCAAAAAATTGTTGTGTTGACTAAATTTGCCACTAAAAAAACAAATAATTTTTTACTTAGGACAGATACTTAAACCTAGTAATGACTCTTTAGAATATTTCATCAGTTTTTTGAGGGTAAAGGACAAACATCGTCAACAATTTCATATGCCTACTGAACCAGATTTATCCTACATCTACGAAGATAGCCTACTATGTCTGGAAGCACTTCAAGACGACAGTCTTACTATTATTTTGCTGTAAATTTTGACATGATAAAAAATCTACGTTAATGTTTTGTTTTAATTTTTTTCAATAATGGCTCTTTAATTTACCTACTGTTTATTTTTATTTAGTTACTGTTTATTTAGTTCGAATGTTTGCAATAAAAAATGTCAGCACATCGGTTGTTTTACTAGTACCTACGTACTTAATGTTATTACCATTTCTTTAACTGATCCACTGTGTACACCTCCCGGTACACAGTGGCTCATTTCATATTTTTTCTTTAAATCACATTTTTTGTAAATCATTTATTTTAACATATTTATATCATGCAAGGTAAGTAGTAGTAGTATTTCCAAGTTATCGTCTGCATTAATTTGAAACGAAGTAAATGATTTTGTGAGTGGTTTATTGTACTTTGAATTTTACATGCGCCACTGTTGCCACACTGACCCTACTCATCATAAATAAATAAATAATGATGACGTGTTTCAGGGTTTTGGATTTTTACATTTTAAGGGAGGGAGTGATGAAAGTAAAATTATATAAAATAAAAAAATAAAACGAAATAAAAATAAACAAAAATATATAAAAATAAAAAAAGTATATACATAAAAATAAACAAAATAAAATAAATAAAAATATTTAAAAACAAATAAGTGGAACTTCTTACACCCTGGTATGAAAAATATGAGGAGTCAATTGATAAAAACGACAGCTCGATGTCCGGACACTCCGATAGCCTAAGGGAAGACTGACTTTCTCACGGCCAGTTTTATGTGACCTTAGTGACCTGAGTCAGTTTCGCATGCAATCTGGTGATATTAGCAGATGAGAACCGTACCAGAAATTTGGTATACAAAGAGATTCTTAATTATATTAATATACTTAAATATTAGAATGCTCTAGTTAATTTTAATCTATAATAGTATGACATATACATACTATGAACCATAAAAAACATACCCCTTATTTTTTTGAGAGGTCGTGCATTTTTTATGTTAAAAACACGACTCCACGCGTGCAATGTATCTTAAAAGCAAATGCTTAACTTTACAATATCACTAGTTGAAAGTGAATACTATACTTGAATTCGTCCCGTTTTGTATTCCTAGCTTTTTGCCAATGTCAATTTGCTTGTCTTTGTCACTTGTCTGTGTTATTTACTGTTCACTTGTAAAATTGAGGCTTTTCCAATCTGCATTCCATACTTTCTACTAGTAAGAACCCCAACATCTACCTTCGATTCTGCGACCAAGGATGGCTGGCTTTAAATTTGGTTAAGACCCCTGAAAGTCTTTAAACCCTTTACCGATGCCTCTTCAAGCACATGTAAATTTTCAGATTTCAATTGTAATTTTAATTTATTAATTTTAACCCTAGTTAAAGCTGGTCAAGTGTGGATGTTACCCAACTCTGCTATTTTTGATGAGTAAGTTGTAGAGTTTTAGTTTTAGAGTCCCGATGATGGCTTAAATGTTGAAACACTTGAGAATATTATTTAAATATCTTAGATATTTTACTCTACGCACTTTAAATATGCCATTCATTTCACCTAAACCTTTGAATATCCAGTATGTACACACATTCTTAAAAATGATAATCATTTCAAAATTTGAGAAAAATATAGTTGAAACATTTTTTTATGACATTATGACAATGTTTTGAAATCCAATTACTAAAAAATATAAAAATCGTAATAATTTGACGAATATTAAGATAAAACAACTGTTTAATAGCACTGATTTTTGAAATAAAGCTAGATAAACGTCGAGACTCACCTTAATGCCCTTCATTCCCTGAATGGGAATTCTATAACTACCAGTCAGGAACAGCAAAAACTTTTTCTTGTCAGCTAACGACATCTCATGTATCACCTCCCAGAACCATCTGATGGTCTGGTCAGAAGACGTATATCTGTGGACAAAACAATTTTATCTCAGCATCCACTTACTGACATAACAACCCCAAAACCTTATTTGCACAGTTGAAAAAACTGTAATAGATCAAATTGGTATCGAATGTAAAAATAGCCTACGAATTGCGCCAATTTTCAAACTCTTATACGTTTACTTACCCGTTTTTGTATTCGGCGACTTCTTCGAGCGCATGCCAGTCGTAATTTTCGTTTCCTATAACCACAGCCATCAATTCGTGCGAATGGAACAGTTGCAACACCCTCCCACCGCAAACTTTCATGAATCCGCTGTGAAAGGCTTCATATTGCTGAGCTACGCTCTCGTTGAAGATGTAATTGACATACAGATCGACGTATTCCTGTCTATAAAATTTAAAATTTTATGTTCAGAGAATTCCAATCAATGTCTATTTTTGTGTTTGGAGGTGGCTAACAAAGGTAAATATATCGTGAACTCGTCGATTGTTTGGCAAAAATGGTAATTATCTTTTATATTCAGACTTAAACTCTCTACAAAATTATTTTCGTAGGACTGACCATTTACGAGTTATAGCTATTTAAAGTTTACAAAACGTGTTAGACGTAAAAACTCTAAACATTATAAACACTTTTTTTTCGTAAAACCAATATGTACCACCATTGAGTTACAGCTCGTCAAAAATTTCGATTTTTCTTTTTAGAATTATTTCAGAAACTGACAATTGAATATGAAAATGCTAAATAGAAATTTTGTATATAATTAAATTCTCAGTTTCCAAAAAGCGTTTTTATTTACCTATTCATTTAATAACTGATCGAATATTAAAATGTCGTGCATTAAATACAAAAACTCTTTACGTTCTTACGTACTTGTTCTCCTGAGTGACCGGCGAATCAGAACCATTGACTTTGAGTGGAATGGTAACAGTTTGACCGAAAGAATCACGGGTTATATCGAAGGTCAATGAAAAAACCTCTTGCATATCGGCTTCCTGATAGTCGAGCAAACATTGCAATGAATTGGCCATGCTGGGTGATAAACCTTTAAGGTCGCTCAACCCAACAGGTTCACCCAACAGTTTCTTGTAAAGAGCCAGAGGAAAGGGAATGTCGATGATAGTAAAATTATAAATCGCCAGGCCCAAGATCATACCTGAGAAAAAACGATATCGATACAATATTTCCCAGAAGCAATTAAGACAGTTAATAACGCACCTATAAGGAAATACACGGAATTATCCTCGAAACACGACTCCGAAAACCATATCGCTCTAGTCTCCTCGTATTCCTGAAACATTCCATACTTCGGATCCAAAATTTCCCGTAAGAGCAACAAAAAGAATTCTTTGGTAACACCTCCGGCATCTTCAGCTTCTTCGCCAGCGAATTTGACCTATATAAAGCATTTTCCATCAATATTTACGCTATCAAACTAAAATTCCCCAGACCTACGGAAATTTCGACGTCACGTGACTATAATCATACATTGCGATTGATTGGACTACTCAAAAATTCCTCAGATCTGAGGATTTTTTTTAAAGAAACCTTGGTTACTTACCCTCAAAGGTTTTTTGAGATCGTTAGGATCAACATGGCTGAGCTCTCGTAAGGCGTCGTCAACTATGCGTTCCCTGCTGATGTTCAACATTAAGAAGCTGTTGATGGAATGGAAGTCTTGAGGCGAAAACAACATGGCAACCACGGCTCTTTGAGCAGCATCGTTCATGGCTTTTTGCATCTGAATGAAGCGATAGAATATATCAAATAAATAAACAATAAAATATTAAGATACCTTGGAATGAACAATTATAAAATTAAAGACAATTCTAAGTAGCTGATAATTTTTTAAATTACCTGCATGGCTTGATCCGTCTCCAACAACTGCACTTTGGCATTGGCGTCGAATACAAAGGGATAATTACACAGAAACAATCTACCTGTCTGAAAAAAACAATTATTTCAATTTTATATACCACATCAATAACAATTTCTAATTTTATTTCATTAATATAAAAGACAAATTAAAAAATATGGTATCATTTTAAAAATTTTGTTGAAAAAGCGCGCGGCAAAAAGAAACAAGCTTGTTTTAAAAATAGCGAGAATAATCAACGAATATCGAAAACGATCATATAAATATAAATTTTAAGAAAAACTTTGTGACTCAAAAACAGCCAAAATAAAGGTTGAACGTCAAAATTGATCCTGAATTAAAAATAACATAAAAAAACACGTGGCGAAAAAACTGTTTTAAAATATCCATAATAAAGGCAGGTCAAAAATCATCAAATTTATCAAAAAAAAAAAAAAAAAAACGCGATAAAAAACCGTTCGATACAAAAACAAGCAAAACAGAAATTGAACGTCCAAAAAGAATAATAAAAATTGAATTAAAAATTACTGAGAAAAAAATAAAAAATAGTGATAATAAATAATGAATGTAAAAACTAAAAGACGATATTAACATGATATATCTAAAAGTCTTTCAGAAAAAAACGAGCCAACCCAAAAATCATCCCAAACAAGGGCTGAAAGTGAAAAAAAAAAACATAATTGAAACTAAAATTAAAAAATTACGGAGGAAAGCAGCGTGGCACAAAATTAGCTTATCTAAAAAAACGTTAAAGGATGAGTGTCAAACACGATCAAATAAACATGACAAGTTTTTCAGAAAAAAAAAAACACCAAATAAAACGTGGGACACAAAAATCAGCCAAAAATGTATAGATTCGGCTTAAACTTTTCTTGGGGATAAGGCAAAAACTATAAAGAGTAACAGAAAGAATTCTATTCATATGAAGCGAGAATAAGAGAAAGAAAGTACTATTCTTCATGATGCCGACCGCTTTCATCCGTTGATGCAAACCAAACAAATTTATTCGCTCCGTGCGAAGTCATGGAAAGGGAAGCAAAAGCGATACTAGCGCTAGCTGCGGATAATTCGTGCATTTTAGGGCGATATTTTGTAATTTTGGCATATCAAATACACGTATACATTTTACTTTTTTTCAAAAAAAGTAGGTAAAAACAATATAATAAGCAACCGGAGTTGCTGTGTTGAAAATTGTACAAATACTAGCAAAAAAACAGTGAAACTTATATAAAAAATTTCAGTAGCAAAGTGGAAATTAAATTAAAGAAATAAATGGGTAGATATACAATAAGAAGAAAAATTACCTTTATTTTTGTAATAGTAACCGTAATGCTGCAAATAGTAGACATCAGAAACTTGAAAGGTTTTAAATAAACAATAAATTATCATTTTACCATGTTCTTTAATATCCCTTATTCTTAAATGTTCATTCAGCAAGGACTAGATTTCAAGTTTTCTGCCTTTGATTATTATATGTGGTTGGAACGCAATTTTGTAACTTACTGATGGGAAATCAGTTTTAATAATTCATTCTATGTTTTCTTTCGAACAAAAATGAAAATGATCCTTTTTTTATACATTTTAACTTCACGCTATTATTAAATTGTATTTTTTTATTTTGAGAGAATAGACTAATTCTTCAATGAAAACTTATTAGACTTAGGCAACTTCTCATACATTTTCCAGTAAATACCGTTGCCTGCCTATATTTTATTATTGATTTTTATCGATTAAACATAATTTTCTTTAATTTAAGCTATAAAAATATATAATAATAATAAATTAATGTTTTACTAGTTTTACAAATCCATATACTTTTATTAAAACTAACATGTATACTTTTTAATTACGAATTCTATTAAAAGTTGCATTTGTCAGTATACGCCGAAATAGTCCATTAGTATCAAAACGAATTGGCGCTGCTGTCGCGCACGGAGCGAATACGTTATACGTTATTTATACTACTCGTAAAAAATATAAATAGTGAAGTGGTAGAACAGAAGTAAAAGTTGGAAAGGCTTTTTCTAGTTCTCCCACTTTATACACATAAATTGACAGGTTTGCTGCGGATCTCAAAGAAGTGGACGCGATACATTGGCGTACAAAATTATTTTATAGATGCTAATAACAATTATTTCGAGTAAATAGTTTAAAAAATAGTGAATAGTTGTTGAAATTTTGTAAAATTATGATTTGAATATTATAATACATGTTTAATAATTATTTATACTCCATAAATACATGCGATTATCCGGTTCCGCCGATAACAATTTAAAATTATTCTATGAAACGACACTGGCAGGTAAACATTACTGCAAAATTCTCGAAGCCGTCCGACGTGGTTTGACGTTTACCCCCTCTCTACCTACCAAAAGCCTATCCAACTTTTACTTTCTCTTTACTATGGGGAGTCGTTTCGTTCAAATTAATTTGCAGTTGCATTTGAAAATATTTGATAAATTTATTTGTCAAATTAGAGATTTTCTATGAATTCCTGTAATTGTGTATAGTTCATGTAGTTCATCTATTTTTAAGAAGATGTCATCGTAAAAACAATGTAGCTACTCTGTTTTAGAGATGGTTTTAATAGGTAAATGATTGTTTAGAGGTACCAATTTTTGAAACAGTGATACAGCTGTATGTCGTCTTTTATTGTTTCGTGATTTTCATATATATTTGTCTCGTTTGGTTCCAAATTATCGATTGATTTTGCCTGTGTATGAACAAGTGTTGACCACGTTGCCAGATTATCGATTTATACGATAATTTCACAATTCTTTCTAGGACGAATTTGATTTTAAAGTGGGTGAAATATACAATTGTGAAATGCAGGAAAGGGAAGGAACTTTATTGCATTCCGGTGTAAATTAAATTCGAATGACCTGGCATCATTGTATGACACGCACGTAATATTGGCGGTCTTTGCTTTCTTCTTCTGAATGTTATTTTATCTTTATAAGGAATCTTATTTCTGAGTTAACACGTTGACTGCTATGTGTATGTACCCGTGTGTATGTCCCATCAGTGCGTAATTGTTCAATATTTTAATTTATGTTAAAGACACGCAAACATGTTTCAAAGAAAAGTTATATGGATTTAAAAAATACATATTTTAAAAATATTTTTGGATATATACAGGGTGTTACATTTTTGCTTGGCATATTTTTAAAATAGAACATGTATTTTATTTCAATTTTAGAATGGTTTGGTAATACTGTATTCAACCCTAGAATAATTTAAAAAAATATTACAGGTCTGTCAAGCAATTAAATTTTTATAAAATTAGAGAATGATGCAGACCCCAAATTAAATTATCATAATTTAGGTAGGATTACATTGATTTCAAAATTGTTTAATACACTGACTTATAGCACATTAAGATAACGAATAGTAGTGATAGTGCTGGATTCTTTTATAGCGAGTGTTTTGAAACATGTGTCTTAAATATGGTTACTTTTAAGTCAAATTACTCTATTTTTCAAAGGCAGCATCCGATATATTTTAGCATACAATTCCTTATAAATTTGCATATCCAACGATACTAACATGTTAGAGAATAACATATATACAGAGTGTCCCATCAGTGCGTAATTGATCGATAGCTGTTTTATTATTGGAAATAAGAAAAAAATTAATATAAAAGTTGTATGACCATATTTAAAAATTATTCCTATATATGCAGGGTGGTCCATAAACGAGATGTTGACCAAACATATACATTTTTATATCAAAACACCCTGCAGGTAGTTATACATATTTGATTGTTTTCACGTAGTCAAATAATTTTAATTGACTTCATTCATTTGCTATGTTATATATAGGGTGTGTCAACACGCGAGGTTACAAACGTTTAATTTTTTTTCAATGGAATATTATATTAATTGGTGGCATAACATACAGGGTGTTCCATTCTAAAATTGAGAAAATCGTGACCATTTTGACACACCCTATATACAACATAGCAAATGAATAAAATTGAAATTATTGTTCGACGATGTGAAAACAGTCAAATATGTATAACTACCTGCAGGGTGTTTTGCTTTAAAAATGTATAGGTTTGGTCAGACAATCGTTTATGGATTACCCTGTATATTTATAAATAATTATTAAATATGGTCATACAACTTTTATATTAATTTTTTTCGTATTTTCTATTATAAAACTGCTATCGATCAATTACGCACTAATGGGACACCCTGTATATGTGTTATTGACTAACTTATTGGTATCGTTGGATATGTTAATTTATAAGGAATTTTGTGCTTAAATAATATACAGGGTGTGGCATTTGAAAAAAATTAAATAAATTTAACTTGGAATTAGCCATATTTAAGACTTGTTTTTCAAAACACACTGTATAAAATAATCCAGTACTATTATCACTATTTGTTAGCTTAGTATCTTATTACTACATTTTAAAAAAATTTGAAATTATTTTAAACCTACCTAAATAATAATAATTTAATTTGGGGTCTGAATCATTCTCTAATTTCATAAAAAAATTAATTTATTGGCAGCCCTGCAATATTTGTTAATAAAATTCTAGGGTTAAATACAGTATTACTAAAGCATTCTAAAACTGAAGTAAAATACAGGGTTTTCTACTTAAAAAATATACCGTTTTATTTGTCAGACAAAAACGCAAAACCCTATATATCTAAAAAATATCTTTAAAATACCTATTTTTGAAATTCATATAACTTTTATTTAGAAATTGTTTACGTGTCTACAACACAAATTAAAATATTGAACAATGTAATAATTTAATCCCGCGCCGCGTTTATATATTTTATTCACGCTTCTATTAGATATTGTAGTTTACTTGAGTATTTACTTAAACTACTTTGCTCTTAAAAAGTAAAAACAGACTTAAATTTTTAGAAAAACTACTTCGGCTCAGCAGACCCGACCACAACATTTGCTTCGGCAGACAACGTGTTTTAAATGCTTTTTTATTTATTTGTTGTTTAATGTGTATTTGGTTATTAATATTTCAAAAATGCTTATTTTTCTTATTGATTAATCTAAAATGAACACGTAACCCAGACAACACACCAAATCCCAGAGATATCCGCAGAATATCTTTTGTGGATATCCAATATATCCACAGGATATCAGAAATATTCCGTGGATCTAATATGGATATCCAAATGTCCGTCTATATCCAGGATATAGAAGATATCCTAATGGATATTCAGCAAAATATATAATGGGTATCTTCCAGAAAATACAAGCAATCACAGAGATATCCACAGAATATATTTTGTGGATATTCAATATATCCAATATGGATATCCAACCAAATGTCAAATATAGAAAATATTCGGATATTCAGCAAAATATTTTATGGGTATCTTTAGTATAGAGGTTCATAAGTAACCAATGATTATTGATTGAATAACGTCGAAAGAAAATAGCAGAGATAAAAAATATTTTCAACACTCAAAATATTTTAGACACTCTGCCTCTGATTTTGTCCACTAAGGAGAAAGTCATCCTTATTAGGACTCTTCAGCAATAAATGAAAATTCTCGACTCCAGTCTCTAATGGAGTGGTTAGGACACACATTTCGATCGAACTCAGTTACGGCGGGTCGAGCATGAGTAGATGCGATAGTGGTATCGCCATCTATACTTAGTAAGCAGAATCAAATAACATCTAGTGGATATCCACGATGGTTTGCGTTCGCGCCTAGACTTTGATATATTTAGTGGATGTTCATGGGATATTGAATACACCTTAAAAAAATTAATTTTAAATATCTGAACAGTACTATTAGCCACAATGGCGAGCACAGTGGCGTAATTTTTTAATAATTTGCTATATAATTACTATTATTTATGGACATTTGCATGTCTATAAATTACATTTCATGGATATAAAATAGATATCTACCATGGACTGGACATTCAGTGGATATTGGGATGTTCAGTAGATATCCAAAGGATTGGGTGTGCTGTCTGGGAATTTTTATTAATAATTGAAAATAGTACTGTAATTCTAAATTGATAAAAAAAAATTATAATAAAAACTTAATATGAAAACATAAATTACGACTCTACAAATGAAGTAAATTTTTATAATTAATTTCTCTTTTCTTACAAAAACATTATCTCAGCAATATGTCATAAGTTGCATACACACAGTATGTCTATGTAAGTTGACAGCATATAGAAAACTTTTTTTATTATTCATTTTATGTAAAAGTTATTCTTTATAAAAATGTATGCATGGTCTAACAGAAAATGCAACCACCCGATATCAAATTTTATCAGTCGGTTTTACAAGGTTTGTCAAAAAATTTATTTTCGACAAACCCTATATACGACTGATAAAATTTGATATCAGATGTTTGAATTTTAGGTTTTAGACCATGCATAACTTTTTATGTAAAGTAACTTTTTTTCTAAAATTAATAGACCATTCAATTGTTTATGAAAAATAAGATTTTTTCTTAAAATTCTTAAAAAAGTTTTCCGTATGCCGCCAAGTTACACAAACATACTACATATAAATGAGATTAAATTTGTTGAAAATAATTTTTACTGATGCAGATCTATATAAAGTATTGTGGGTAAATACGGTAATAAAAACACTTTTTTATTATATTTTTCTTTTTTTTTATTTGATTCATTGGCTGCAAGACCTTTCGGTATATACAGGGTATTCCATTAAGAATGGAAGCAACTGAAGATTAACTGATCAGAAATAAGCCGATTAAACGAAACATCCGTAGGTAAAACATTACTCGAAAATCAAAAATTATAAACAGCTACAATTTTTTTTGTTATTCAGTTTAATTTTACTAAATTCGGCAAACGTTATTGGTGTAATAAAATACACCTATCAGCAAAAAAAATAAGTTAAATAAGCTTTGCCAGTGGCATACTTCATGGGCAAGTAACACCTTTTTCCCTTCTAAATTTTAGTCCACTGTCCAAAATTTTGATTTTTTTTTATTAAATTTCTAAAAAGAGTACATTATTTATTTGAAAAACATCAAAAAATTTAAAATTTTATGTCTGAATAACTTTTTGGATAGTGACGTAAAATTTAGAAGGGATGCCGTATTTCGTACCAATGCTGTACGCCTCTGGAAAAGTTAATTAAAGCAGGTAACTAATTTTTTGCTGATAGGTGGATATTATAACATCAAAACCGTTTGCCAAATTTAGTAAAATTCTTGTGAGTAATAAAAAAATATAGCCATAAATATTTTTTGGATTTTAACACCGTAATTCGGAAACGAGAAACATTTTATCTAAACATGATTTGTTTAGTTGTCTTATTTTATTCAGAGAATCGTCAGTTGTTCTATGTCCCATTCTTAACGAAACACCATGTATGGTATAATAGGTCCCTACGTAATGATACGAAGACCTTTATCCTTTGTTGACTGGACACAAGAATGAACTACTAAGTAAATATACCGATATTCCGAATGTAATCCAAAATATTATTTTTATACCTGCTACATCGAAAATATTTGCAAGGTCAAGAACTCGTTTACGTATCATCGCGTAGTGGCTAGGGGTGATGAATTTGTTATTTTATAACAATTACCGTTTAAAATTAATAAAATTATTACGCCATCTGTTGAACAAAAGAACTATTAAATATGGAATATTGCTCCATCTGTTGAACAAAAGGATTCTTAATTTATGACATATAAATGACATCTATCAAAATTAGTTCATGTTACGAATATTGGGGGTGGTACTGTGGCCTTAAACTCCGTTTAACACAACGGTGGAATCGGTCGTAAGTAAATATACGGATGTGTCGAATTTAATCCCAAACTTTTATTTTTATACCTGTTACAAAGAAAATATTTGTCAATGTCAAGAACTCGTTTACTTATTATCGCGTAGTAGCTAGGCGTGATGAATTTGTTATTTTATAACAGTTACCGTTTAAAATTAATAAAATTATTACGCCATCTGTTGAACAAAAGAACTATTAAATATGGAATATTGCTCCATCTGCTGAACAAAAGGATTCTTAATTTATGAAACATAAATGACATCTATCAAAATTAGTTCATGTTACGAATATTGGGGGTGGTACTGTGGTCTTAAGGAAACGCAAGCCTGTGCATTAGCTGAAGCTACACCATCTTCAAGTAGACAAATTGCTGCTGAAGTTGACTTGAAAGTGAGACAGGTAGGAAATATTTTAAAAAGAAACGGATGTTCCTGTTTTGAGGTACAAACCACTCAAGAAAATACTTCTGGGACGGTTACATTTAGGTGTACACCACACATATATTGTACATTACTGAACTTATTTACTGAACAATTAAGATTTATTGAACATATAAATTCAATCTCAATAAAATCATCCCAATGCTTTAGGGTTAATATTCTCTCTAAAAGCCATAAAAAGAGTTTATCAAACATTGGTTGTACCTCAGTTGGAGTATGCCTCTATAATTTGGTCGCTACAATATCATATACTGTCTAGCAGTGGAAAGAATACAAAATAAATTTCTAAGATACTGGGCTTTCAAATTAAATATTCAGGTAACCCATCACAATTATACTAGAATTTTAAATGAAATAAATATGAGCTGACTTAAGTACAGGAGACATATCAGATTTGAATTTTATCTATAGATTATTAAATGGTCTAGTCATATGCTCGGAACTCTTAGAAATGATTTCTTTCAATAATCCTAATAGAGTCCTTAGGCAATTAAATATGTTCCATGTTCCATTTTACAATACAAACTATGGCATGCATTTATCTATTGAAAGAACATTGAGGGTAATAAATCAATTGAATCCTGAGGTTACAGGCATTTCTTTTAATAAATTTAAGGCAATCTGTACGAATGCACTGGAGTAAAAATGAAATATTACAGACGGATTTACAACACTTAAAATGCATTTATTAATCTAAAACTTATTTGACTTAATTTTAACTTTTTTTTGTTACTTGTATTTTTTTAATTTAATTTATAATTTACAATTATCTGTATCATTTATATGTGTTTTGCTTTGTAGTGGGGTTGATCCCGTTTAAATAAATAAATAAACTTAATAAAATCAAATTCACACCTTGGGTGTGCTCGGAGGAATGACTCCCTACTAAGCAATGCATCACAAAGTGGAATATCACTTGTGCTCCCTTTTTATAAAGCTGTCACTGTTCTTCTTGTTAATTCGCAATACAAAAGAAAAATGCAAGTCAAATATGTATGTTAAACATCAAAAATAATGATAATTAATTACAATTTCTGAGAAAAAAACTGTACGGCAAAATCTACTTGTCTTAAAAATAGCGACAATTAAAGCTAAATGTTTGAACGTCGGAAGAAAACATTTCGAAAAATAAATATGAATACTTAGCTAATATAGAACAAACTAAAACACCAATACGTGCTGGATTTAATGACCATAAAACGCGAAAATATATCAAAACTATGAAATTTAAATGGTCGATCCATAGTAAATTAAACTGTTAATGTCTAACAAGTTAAATAATAAACTAGAAGTGATAAAAATGAGATCCAAAAACTCACCCCATGGTCAGAGAGCCAATAGACGTAATCCAATCGGACGTCGAGATAATCGGAAAGATCGTTCATATGAAAAGTGTCATAAGGCACTTTTAGGCCCTCGACGCTGTGGTTTATTTTGTTCAGGAACGCGAGCAGATCCAACATGGCGACTAGACTAGCATCGTAGAAGGCTATCTGGAATTTCGTATCAAACAATTACTAAAGCTAGAAGGTTAACTACATGATAAGTAACTCACCCTGCCTTCCGGTATATTTTGATTTCTTAATATATAACTAGCCACCGATTTGAAAACATTGACCAGCCTCTCGAAATAATCACAGCTCATCATGCTCCACCAACCGGACACTACCTAGACATTTTTTATATACAGTATGATGCTAAAGTTAGGAATAAACTCTCCAAATAAATATTTACCTTACTAGCGGGCTTCTTGAGGTTAAGTACAGCGCTGGCGAAAGGCTTTTGCAATTTCGTATGTTGCTTAGGATTATTGAACTCATGATAGAGAGGCAACGTTACGTATATCCTAAGCGCTTCAACATCAGGCGGCGAACGCGACAAATGAGGCAACAACTCATCCACTATACAATTCCATATCTAAAAGTATATATTTTGGCAACAAATTCCACTTCCAGTAAGAGTTTTTAATCAATTTGTAGGAGAAATTGAGAAAACTCACCAGATCTGAGGAAATTTCTACGTCATGCAACCACAATTTTGCCGTTGGATTTATGGAACCGCCAAAAATTCCCCAGATTTGGGGAAAAATCCTCAACGATACACAAGATGTTAATCATAAACCTTGTAACTCTTGAACACAAGAGTAGGTTTTTTAATGAATGTTTCACTACATTTTTATAAAAAAATCATTAAGCTAAAATTTCATGATTGTTTTAAAAAAGTAACAGACTTACCAACTCTTTGATGCTCTTGTTCTCAATCTTTCCTATCAATGAATACGTCGTCTCAGTCGTCTGTATATCGACACCATGATGCCTGCTGGTGCAATAATAATGTTCATCATTGGCCAACAGAAACGAACCGTTCAAGCAAGACAGACTTTTGAAGATGGTCTCCAGGAAGCTCCACACGTCGTGATCGACGTTCGCCTTGGGCGATATCCGTAAGATGGTTTTTAAGTAATCATCGGTCAAGGTCAAAATTTGGGATCTGGGATCGATGTCGCGACAATCGAACGGAGGCACATTAAGGTCTTTTTTTATCACAGTCACGAAACAATGGTCGCCGCCTGGAAAATACCTTCCGACAATCAGAGAAAAGATTCGAATATATAGTGTTCTAAAGCTGCAACTGCAGCAATCAACTTACCAGCAAATATTCGCTGAATAACCAAATTTTTTACATCACTAGCCGTAGGTATGAGGGACACTCCGCTAGGAGATATCCAAGGACCCAAGACGACTTGGGGAGTAGAGGCACTTGAGGGCTTTCGAAGACCCAGTTGACCGGCACCGCCGATACCAAAACTGTACACCCTACCTCGAGACGGTACCAACGCCAAGGAATGTTGCCGGCCGCACGCTACCTGGGTGATGGTGGAACCCATCAACTCTATCACCTAAAATCCAACAGAAGCCAAATGACATTTACTACCTATTAATGGACCTATCCTACTCTAAGCACTTACTTGTCTAGGCAAAATTTCATTGCTGGTAGTCCCATGGCCGAGTTGACCATACATGCCGGCGCCGCAAGTCAACACGCCGCCATCTATCGTTAGAAACATGGAAAACTCCTCGCCGCAAGCTATGTACCTAACTTTGATATTTCTGAGTGTACGTAACTGTGTCGGAAATATTTTGTTCTCATTGTCGTTCAATCCTAATTGTCCGCGAGTATTTTTCCCTGAAAGCGATCTGATTTTTACTCAAAGTTTCACACGAAACAGGAAATTATATCGTTAATAAATAAATTAATCATTATTAGAACCCAAATGGAAATCCTGTAATCCCTCATCTCACTGCAAAAAGTGGCATGTCATGTTTTTTGCTTGCTATTTGTAGTTGGGTACAGGTGAGGTGATGCTCCCGGTGCTGGGAGCTGTCAAGTAACCTGTCAAATTCAAAGTAAAGTTGCTTATTGATGGATTTTTCGTATTTTTGCTGTTAATGAAATAATATGCTTCTAGATAATAATAATAATACGTCTTTATTAAAACAAATGCGTACATACATTTGCACCAGGGAGGTGAAGGTTAGCTATACAGCTACTCTTAACCCTTAACCTTCCTAGTTAACATAATAACATACTATTTACATTATATTTACACAGTAATAACATAATGATCTGTAGTCTTATAGTATTAATAACAAATAGACATAAATAATTACAAAGAACAAACATTGAAATATAGAAAAAAAAAAAAATAAATATATTTATATATATATAATGAGAAATCCAAACAAAACAGGTTATTGCTTAGCCAAAAAATACTTTTTAATCTCACGACTAAAGATATGCAATGATACGTTCCAATTTAGAAAATAAAACTGATTATATATTTTAATAGCATTATAAGTGAAACCTCTTTCAAACTTTGCAGTGGAATGATGAGGCATTGTAAGCATATTATGTCTAATATTAACATTATGAACAGATGTTCTGAAAATTAATTTCCCAAACAAATAGGCAGGGTTCCTTGTCTTTAATAGTCTATTCAAAAATATTAATAGATTTAGTTGATATAGATTGTCAACTTTGAGCCATTTCAGCTGAGCGAAATAAATTGAGATATGATCATATTTTGTATAAGCTGTAATTGGCTCTGTGACAGTTTGTCCAGACAAGGATAGTAAACAATATTGCAATAACTTAATATTGATAAAACTAAATATTCACAAAGTTTTTTCCTCATTTTAAAGTTCAATATATGCCTATTAATGTAAAGCAACCGCAATCTTGAGTAGCATCTCTTGATCAAGGTCTTAATGACTCTTAAATCTAAGAGACTGATCAATAAGTAGACCCAAATTTTTTGATTCATTATTTAAAGTTATACTAACATCATCCAACTCGAGTCTCATTGATCTTTCAATAACAACACGTCTGGCCTCACTGCAAAATAGAACAGTAGTTTTTGAAGGATTAATAGTAAGATTGTGTTCTTTTGAATATTGTAGTAGAAACTGCAAATCTCTATTAATCAGATTGTTAGCATTGTGTATATCTTGGGATTCTAGATGTCTATAACAATAAAAAATCTCTGCAAGCATTTTCTGTCGTCTGGTTTTGCTACTTCAGTTGTAGGAATTACAACCAGGCCAAAAGTGACCTGTTTTTTTTTAATGAGTGTAAAATCGGAACCGAAAGATTAAAAGTGATTTAATTGCTCTCAAAATGTTTGTATGACTATCAAGTAAGAGTATTGTAACGGCAAGCATTTTTTATTCAGTAGTTTTACCCCATTCGTCATAAATGAAACCATTTTTACATTTTTTTCTCGAAAACTGGAGGAGAATAAAAGGCTGAATGGGTAGAACTATAAAATAAAAAATGCTTGCAAGGGCAATTGGGATCTAAAATTAAGATCGCAGCGCCGTCTGTACTTAACATTTAAACTAATTGTTATGGCTTGTTATTGTTTACATTTTTGAGTGTGTAAACAAACAACCCATAAAAAGTATTTAGTTTATATTGTGCTATTTTAAGGAAAACACGAGGGAAAACATATTGTTGTTGTTAATTTTTAGTGATTAGATACTTTTATTTCAATAGTTTTTAGGTTAAAGTAGAATATATATTTTTATTTGGTAAGTAACCCCCTATTAATTTTGTTTTTAAATTACATTCATTCATGTTAATTTAAGATATATTTGTGTTATCTTTTAATAAAATATTAATATATTTATTTTATTTTTAGTGAGATGTCTGAAATAAGGCTAAGTTTAATAGAACTTATGAAGTATATCGATGCAGGTGAAAATTCCAGGACTGTTATTAAAGAAGATGCTATTTTAAATGCGGGCTACATAGTTTTTATGTGGAAAGAATGAATTTAGTGATAAACACGTTTTTGCAGTTGTTCTCCAAACTAGTGCATTGAATTCAGGTCCCCATATTGTTGTAGGCCAGTACAAGATGTTTGAAATTAGTGAATGGCAGTGTTTGTTTTAAGCTGGGAACAGTGGACAGTGCAAACATATTTCAGGAGTCTTAATAAAGTGTTCTAGGTGTATACTGTTTCAAATAATAAAAGAACTATCAAGCTAATTCGATCGAATACCTTTTGATTTTGTTCTACACCCACATGTATATTATTTATTTTACGCACTGATTAAAGAACGAAAAAGTAGGCCATTGAACGAATATATTTATCCATTCTATGAACACTGTATAGATATGAAATCCACCAATATTTGGTCGCCAGGATAGCATTATTTTTTTAAATTTTAAATGAGTAACAATTCTGTCAAACTAATTTTCAGCATAGTTTTTAGTTATTGAGATTAAATATAAATTACAAATGATTATTGTGAAGAATCGATAAATAATGGCACTACACAAGATATTCTTTTATATTTTCAAATAAATCTAAAATCAGTTTATGATTATTACAAAAACTATGTGTCCTTGGTACGGAAGCAGAATATTTATGGCTTCACTTTTATGTTTGCATAAACTATTTGATAATCAAATTATTATTTCAATGTTCCATAATTTTATTTAACAAGATGTTTTAAAACATAGAATAATTATTATTTTAAAATCATCTATTAACACAAGTAGGTACTATTTTGTTTGTTAGTTTTGATGTAAAATTTACTTAGTCATTATTTTAATTTGTAGTTTGTATTAGTTTTTAGTCTTAATACTTTTATAATATATTATTTAATCCATGTTACTTATTATCTTACAAACAATTGTATGACACTTCGCAAGTGTTCTTATTCTTACCTTTTTAACACACTGATGTTTGTAATGTTTGGATATTGTGTGAATAATTATGATATTAATAACATAAGTAATTCATGTGATCTCTTCTTTAATACAATCAATGAAAATGTACAGCTTGAAATTTATGATTGATTTTGTACTTGAGAGAATACTCTTTTTAATAATTATTTTTATTCTCAAGTTTACTAGTCATCCTGTACAGTTACATTTTCTAATGAGTGATTGTACATTGATAATGTATTTTTGTACATTTTTTATATTATTCTGTAATGGAATAGTTCGACACATGCAACGAAGACTATAGTAACTCATTATTTCAAAGTATTTTATGGCCTAAAATGATTTACTATATTTGATGGTAGTATTTCTGGTTGCTTAACCTCTTCGTTTAGATATACGATACTTATTTAGATCAAAGCTTTTGGCAAATATATGTGCTGGATAAAGGTAACTAAAAACTCTCAAAAATGAGTCTTCGTTGCATGGGTCAAGTTGATTCTGTTGGTAAAAAGGCTATTATTATAAGCAATAAATATAAAAATCAAATATTTTTTATTTTTCCTGTTAACAAAATATGCCAATGTTTACATAATAATAAACATTCTTTATTGAGTTACAATACCCAATAGGCCATCTTCCGAAGTACTTCAGCTGATTTGACTGTATTTTCTAGTACAGTATGTTAAAGTTGTTAATACCAGTGAATGAACACAACTCTTTGTCAGATTTTAAAAGATCTGAATTGTTTTAATTTTTGGGGTATGCACACTTGTACACTAATGGCAATATACTTGAAAAAGAGTATTTGCAACCTCTGTCTTGTTTGGCGTGAGTAGCTAGGTTATCTTGAAACAAATCACTCTCAACTATGACTTTGTTTAATCTCACTATCACATTTAACACTGATGAACTTTTTTTAGTTTGGACACAAAATCTTTATTCTGTGGTTTGGATCTTCTTTTTGTTCTCTCAATATTTGATTTTGAAGTTTATTGAACAGAATCGTCAAACATTTACTTAAAAACTGGCAGGAAGACAGCGATTTTTTTTATATTTATTTTCACTTTGGATGAGGCATCTACAACACAAAAAAAGGTAAACTAAAAACATTCAATCGAAAAATAAATCTATATTACCTCTAGGCAAATCATCTTCTTTAAAATGCTTCTCAATTTTTAATTTTTGTAACCATGCATTTTTTGCAGAATTTCCACTTGCAATTTATAAAAATTACCCTACATTTACCAACTTTAGGAAGCAAATGAAATGTAAAAGAAGGTCCATTTTTTTTAGGGCTGCATCCAGGCACCCAACAAGTGTGTTTTTCACAGATATTCCACTTATAGTTCAAATAAAATAATATTTTAATATATATGATATAAATTTAAAGCATTAGCTTATTATTAAATAAGATATATCAAACAAAATACTTGTTAAATTTTAAAATACATATTGAAATGACCTGATAAACAAAACTTGACAGAACACAGACGGTCAAGTGTCAAATGGCATAACTTTTAGTTCACAGTAGAGGGCGTATCGCTTATCTTCAGATCCCAATACTCTTATTTGAGTCATTCAAATATTTTGAGAGCAATTAAACCACTTTTCGACTTTTAGATTTAATTTTACACCTATTTCAAGACATGGGTAAATTTTTGATAGGTTGCATTTATGTTTTGTCCATCAACCCTTCAGGAGATACAAAAAATGCTTGTAATACCATTTTAGATTCAGACAAAATGCATTTAAACTATATCCCGAATTTCATTGTAAATATGTCAAGTGGCTGAAATCCCTACACCGGAAGCACCAAAATCGGACGATAGAAAATGCATGCAAAGGGATTTTGTATTGTTATAGACGTCTAGAAGCATATTATTTCATTGCCAGCAAAAAAACTAAAAAATTCATTGAATAAGCATCTTTACTTTGAATTTGACAAGTTTCACGACAGCTCCCACCACTGGGAGATGTACTTGTTGTCGACCCCCCCTCCCCTGGACCAAACTACAAATAGCAAGCAAAAAACACGACATGACACTTTTTGCAGTGAGATGGGAACTCCAGAAATACAAGAAATATAGCAATATAAATTATTACTGAAATAAACTCACCCCAGCCATATACGGCACCAGACTTGGAAATAGCGAAACTATGATTAGCTCCACTGGCAATAAAAGCAAATGGAATCCCCTTCAAGGACGACAACACCTTCGGCGAAGCTTCAACAGGGGTGTTAACCCCGATGCCCAGCTGCCCAAAATTATTAGCACCCCACGCCAGTATATCCCCATCTAAAAAAAAAGTAGATCATAACACTGCTCAAGCCGACTTAAAGGCAATACTTACTGTTTGCCAAAGCTATGGAATGCCTTTGACCACAGCAAATTTGAACGATGTTATAGGAGGCAAAAGCTTTGATTATTTTCGGCGTAATCAAAATGTCTTCGCCGATGTTCTGACCGAGTTGTCCGTGATAGTCAGAGCCCCATGAGAACACTTGGCCCCATTGGTTTAGGGCCATGGAATGCATGGATCCGCATGATACGTGAATGATTTGATGAGCGTCCAAACCCCCTACAGCTTCTATAACCAAAAACTACTTGTAAACATCTCTAAATTTTGTGTATTTGTTGGTTTTCAAAATGACTTCCTTTAATTACTCAGGTAAATAAGTAAATATGCCTATACAGGAGTTTAACTTAAATTACCTTAATCCAAAATGCTTCATAAGGGAAAAAGAGCTCTTTGAAGTTAGCATCTTTAAGTACATTTTTTCAACATACCTCAAAAATTACATAGCTCAAAAGTTTAAACTTTGCACATTGACTAAGCTTCTAATTCTGTAAATTTGATTTTTCTATGGTAATCACAGGGGACTGAAATGGGGGTGCCAAAGGCATTTTCAATTATAATTACGACAGTATTTTACCTTCAGATTTTTAACAATTTTTATGTCATATTTGTAAACTGTAAGAGGTATTTTTTAAAAATAATGTACTCTTGTTTGAAATAGCTGATGCACCGTCTTCGAGAAAAAAAAACTTCATTAGCGCTTGATGAAAAAATTTGAGGAAAATGCAAAATTTAAATGTTGTCATTGTTTTCATTGGCAATGAAGAGATGAACAAATCATTTTTAAAATATGTTTCAAACAAAATGTAAGTGGTAATTTTTAAAATTTATATTTTAAACACTTTGTTATTAAATAGGCCCTACTCAATGTATTTAATAACTTTACAGTAAATTATATGTTGGACACATCAGATATTATGTGAGATGGCCCAATGTAAAAATTCCCCAGTCTAAAATAAATTAAATACTAAAAAATCTGAAATTTGGCCACAACACAAAAATTATGTAAAAGTCTATTGAAGACTGAAATTGGATAATAAATTGCTCTTAAAAAGGCAAGGTCATAAAATAAATTTGTATTTTTTTTAATCTGATATACAACCTTCTTTAGACATTCATCAGCTACAAATTACTCAACACATTTGAAATTTCTAATGCAAACCTGATGCCGATATATACCTATAGTAATTTTAATACAATGACATGAATCAGTGAACCAAAAAAACTTAAAACAAAAAAGGATTTCTACCAAATATTACAATATATAAAATTAAGTTATTTGTTAAAAGATTTACAGTAAAAATTATGAGATATTTTGTGGCTACAATGAAATATAAATGAAACCTTTAGAGTTGAGGTGCCATGCAACCAATAAATACAAAATAAATGTCTACCAAAACATTTGTATAAAAAAACAATTTTATGAATTTTAGTGCTTTCATAATTCAAATAATCCATTACTGAATTTTTTAAAATAGTGTTTTAATAGAATTCTAATGTTATTATACTTTGTGAGCTAAATTATTACTTTTTTTAATTTCAAATACACTTTTCACAAAACAATATTTTTTAGTATGGTTAAGTAACTCACATTTATCGGACACAATATTTTCAGTATTTTACTTTACAGTCATTTTCTCCTAAACAAAATACAAACTTTCCTGAACAGTATTATAAAAAATTAAAGGACAAAATCAAGTAAGAAGACATGCCTACCCACCCACACAACCTTATTGAATTTTTTCACCCATTTCACAAGCATAAGGCACACCAGATACTGATTGATCTATATAGCAGGAACAGAAGTTAGAAAGGCTGTTGCCAGTTCTCCCACTTCATACACAGGATTTTACAGTATGCCTTGGAGCTTATCGAAGTAAAGGAGAAAAATTGGCATAGAAAATTCTTTAATAATTGGACGTGGATATGCAAAAAGGAACCAAACTACAACAAGATAGTTTTGAGAAAATCAGATTTAAAGTTTTTGCAACATAAAATCAGTAGAAAAAATAAAAAGTTCTGATTGCACTTCACTGCTTTTCAACAATTTAGGTTTTTTTTTACTTGTGTATTCAAAAAATAACCAACACCTTTTCATGCATATGAACCCATTTTCGGAAACGTTGTCGCTTGTTTCATTTTTGCATATTTACATTTAATTGGTAATAACAATTTCATGTAAATAGTTTAATAAATTGTGAATAGCTATTGAAATTTTGTAGAATTACGATTTGGGATATTATTACTTGTTTAAATCATTATTTGTAGCCCATAAATAGATAAGTTTGCCAGATTCTGCCAGTAATAATTTAAAATCTTTGTTATTATTTTTATTCTACAATATGACATTGCCGAAGAAACATCACCTCAATATTCTTGGAAGTCGTCTAACAGGGTTGATGTTTACAACCTTTCTACCTACCAAGAGCCTTTCCAACTTCTGCCCTTGCTATACCATAAAACACAGTTAGTGAACAAGCATGTACAATAATTATTATTAGAAGCATTTGAAATAAATGAATGAAAGCTGAACTGTCCGTGAAAAGGTTAAAAATACAATGGGAACCCAAAAAGCAAAATGGGCACATACTAAATAAAGACATACGTGGCCTCTTCCGTGGCTGATCATGACCCAATTGTCCATAGTCATTGTTCCCACATGAGAAGACCTTTCCTTCATTCGTCAACAAAAGGGTGTGATTTTCTCCTAGTGCTGCTTCCACTACTGTGTTAGCCAAGGACCAATCTAGATTGGTTGGTGCAAGGATGTGCTCCTCTTCTATGCCTCCTAGTCCTAATTCGCCGTGAATTGTACTCCCCCAACCGTACATTTTCCTATGTTATCAACTGATGTGGACAATTTTCATGGTTTGTGTTTAAATTGCTGAAATCAGATAACAGAACATCTAGAATTTACTTACATCTAGAACATTCCTATTGTTTTTTTCTACTATTGATTGCGTTTGTCTATTGCGCATCTATTCGATAATATGTTGTTTACGTTTTTTACCTTCTTGTTGTTTAATTCATGTGGTTTCACTTCCGATTTAGTAAGGAATAATCAAAACGATTGAATTATTGAATTGAAAATTGGATGCATGAAGATGACAAATATAAATGGAGGTTAATGTCACTAATGTCAAATTCAGGTTCGGGGTGCGTTCAGTAAAAGTGGATCACTTTAATCGAGCTGTGTTTGATTAGGTTCTTTCGTTCGTCCCACTGTTGTAGGAATGAACCAACATAAGTGAAAAAAATGGTCGGTGCGTTTGACAATTTGGACGCCAGACTGTCAATTCGGAGCAATCTACGTCACGGGCGTATTACGATAAGTTATATTATTTTTTATTATTAAGGCCAAGTTCAATGACAAGTGACGGCGACTTTTTTATCACAAGAAATACAGCTCTGAACGATAATATTTTCAAAAACTGTTTTCATAAATGGGTTCAAAAAACTGTAAAAAATGATGGAAAGTCTATGGTTTGTTTTACTTTTAATGCATAATATTTTAATAAGTGATATTTAACAAATATTTAAAAGTTATGGACTTTCCATCATTTTTTATAGTATTTAAAAGTTAAAACGCAACATACATTCTTTTATTTTTGCCTAATTATTTCAGGATTCTTGTGATAAGATTTAAAAATGTAGGGCCCATAAGATGCTGCCATCTGAACAGACGGAATAGACACTAAAAATTGAAAAATTGCAACATCGCTCCCTATGCAGACGAATGTAAAATGGCTTAGCCCAATTTGACCGTGTTTATTGGTGAGGGGCGAGGTGGCGTACGGGGAAAGGTTGCAAGTAAATAAATTATTCTATAAATGCTATTTATAGAATATGCGTTATACGCGTGTCTTTTTATCCAACTGTTGCAGCAACGTTGGCATCGGTGCGGTATCTACCTGTCTTTTATTTCATCAATCTATCAATGGCCGTGTTCATCGTCGTCAAACATGTTGTAACCAATGAACTGGAGTGAGGTAGAATGCTTGTCAATAGGCAATTATTACTATTGGTAATATTTTCAAATTTAAATTGATTTTATACATTCATTTTAATATTGTTTAACCGACTGTTTCAATGTGACAGTTGTGACAAGCGACATTTCAACGTCTTTAAGTGTCGCTTGTCACACTGTCACATTGAAACAGTCTGTTAAACAATATTAAAATGAATGTATTAAATCAATTAATTTTAAAAATAATTATGATTTAGCAAGTTGTGAATCTCCAGAAATATTTAATTTTGGGAGCGAGGATGACTAAGAACTTGGTGGATATGCTTGTTTGTGGACAATAAGCACTGATGATGGCACAATGTCGAAAGCGCTTTGCATTTATTAATTAAAAAGTTTTGCACGAAATACAAGTCTTTCCTTTTGAATATAAAAAAAGCTGTTTAATACATGAAAAAAAAAGTATTTATACTTCGTTTGTTGGATATTAAAATAGAACAGAAATCTTGATTCACAAATTATAAATGTTGATTTTTTTATGGCCGTTGGGTATCAAAATGTTGATTTACATTTTTCTTCATTTTAATGTTGAAATAAGGTCTGTTAAAACTCTATTAGCCGTCCAAGAATTTAGACAATAAACATCTAACAGATTCATCATTTAGTCTATTCCTTCGTTTGGTAATTGTTAGAGAAGCTCTTGAAAAAATCCTCTCTATTAATGCCGATGTAGCAGGTATGGATATGAAATTTCTAGCCATTTTAGATAATATTGGAAATACGGTCTCGTGCCTCTTCCACCAATTCAATACATTTTCTATTAGCCAGCCCTGCCTTCAGATAAACATTTTGTAATTTCATATTTCCGGAAATTTTTATCGACTGGGTCTGGGTTTTTAATACAAGATGTTTGAAAGAAAGCTATAACATCTATATCAAAATTTTCGGAATCTTTACATTGGCTTTGGAGGGCTGATTTTGTTAATAATTCGTTTTGTTGAATAGCCGCATCATCGGATTCAGAATCATATTCATTTTCATCAGGGATACATTCTGAACCGCTGGATTGAAATGGTTCAGGCTCAGACATTTCCAAATCACTCATTAGTATTTGTTTCCAGGTAGTCAGCGTAAGCCTTTGGCTATGTTTTGTGCCTCCGCCGCTTGGCAAAATATAAAACTGAAACAAATAATCTTACGACGACGTCTCGTCAGCCGGAATCAGAGATAACTGGCTAGGATACTGTATCCCTGCTACGTCTCATTGCGTAATCTTAAGAAATTAAAAATGCGGTACGGCCGGTGGCGGTACGTATTTCAAACTATTTCAAACAGTTTGAAAAAAGTTTGATTTCAAATCAAGTTTCCGAATTGATTTTCAAATCAATTCAAACTCTTTTATAAAAAAAATTGATTTTTCAAGTTAAATCAAACTTAACTTGTCAAATCAAACTAGTTTGATTTGATGCATCTCTACACTTGAATGATTACTAATGATGAAATTAATTGGTAGCTTTTTTTGACAAAACTTCTTAGTATTTTTGATTGGAATATATTATGTATATAAACGTCATTTCTACGTAATATTGGTACTCTTGTTTAAACAGGATACTTTTACCAGTTTTCGAGAAAAAGGCAATTGAACAACTCACAAGTCTCAGATGGGGAGTTAAAAAAATATTTCTCATATGAAAAGTGTTCTTTGAAGTGTCAGATAATTGTGTCTGGTACAGTAATTTCTTGACAGTGAATTATTTTTGCTGTTTAATTATAGTTTATTATTATTACTGTTATTATTATTTATCTCCCTGTATCTTATTCCACTGCAATATTTTATTAAGGTATATTTGGCCCTATCGTCATATTTTGCTCCAAATAATCTGCCCTTAGATTATGTCCCAATAAATATGAATCACCCTGTATATGAATACTAGAGGTAAAGAGGCGAATCGGCATACTCAAAATACGGTCTCAAAAAACGCATGCTAATTGAGCTTCTATATTTAACCGCATGGGCGCTGGTACTGCATACGGTGTTCAAAATACATGGCTTCTTATGGGAATGTTACCTAATTTTGTCAAAATAATAAAAATAAACTTGTTTATAACTAAATAAAGCATATAACATATTGTTGTATTTATTTCTAAATAAATCTTGCATGTTTTAATTGACAAATTATTTAATTTTATCTATATAAAATACAAATTAGGTATATATGACCAAATTCGAAAAAGTTTCTTAAAAGCCGATATTTGATAAGTACAATTTTGTGGCAAAATTTTTTTTGAATTGAACCAATATATAGTTTTAAGAATAAAACAGAACACAGTTAACAGATTTTTGTTGTTGTAATAAAAGTATAAAGGGAGATTTGGGAATGTACATGGTATTACCTCATCCTTTAATTTCAGCTTTTCCCTTTTTACCATCAGTAAAAATAGTCTCATAATATTTGATAGTATCTTCTAAAAAGTACAGAAAGTTTATCGGCACTAGGAACGATATATATGCTGCCACTGTTCTAAACGTTTAGTATCCTATAAAAAACATTTACAATGACACAATTGGGGTTCAAAAAAAAAAAATAACAGTAGCAACTCTTTATCTAACACTTAAACACTATAAAAAATATATTTTTTTTTCTAGTAAGTTAAATTTAATGCATCATAATTATTGTTGTTTGTAAGTCAGCATCTATGACTGTAAAATTTTATATTATAAAAACTTGTAATAAAATAAAGATACATATTGTGACTAGTTTACAATAAATATTATATTTAGACATGAATACATTATTTTACTTACATTAGAAGCTTTAAAAAGACATTGAATTGATTTCTTCTTGTGTTTTCTTAAGTTTTACATTTGATTTTTATCCTGTTTTATAATCTGGAACAACGTATATATTGCTTTGATGTTTTTTGTCACTCATGTTACTCGTACTCAAGTACTTTTTTTCACATTATTTTGATTCTTTTCACCAATTTTTTTAAAAATCACTTCATTTTACATTGACTTACATAGAAAATTGATACCGCTGTCGACATGCCAACTACAGTCAATTTCGCAAACTTTATAAAAAGAAGGACGGAAATTTGAAATTTGACCATTGCCGATTCGCCTCCTTCTCTCTAGTCTTCATAGTTTCATATAGATGAAATATAAAATATTTATATAATAACATAGTCCATATAAAATTTAAAACATAAAAATAAAAAGGTATGAACTGTATCGTATTTGGAACGTCACATTTGGTTCATTACAATGATTTTATTTTATGGGCTTTATAATCTACAAGAAGTAAAAATACTTTCTTGGATATAACAGGAGTGTCACATCTGGTTTGTTAAAAAGATATCATTTTTGGGAACTTCCAATAACGTTGAATAACGTAACAAGGTAGCGCTGTAATATCATCGCAACGTCTACACATTGTTTCATCACAAAAGTAAACGTCCCTACTCTGGGCTTATACGGTTATGAGTCCATCCTACAGATGAAAATAAGAGTAAAAATGAGAGTTACAATGTAACAATGTGATGTAAGGTTCTCATTAATTTAACGTTTTTATGCATAGTGGGTGAGAGTAGTTTATTTTATTACAAATTTCTATAAAATAATATTTTACAGTCACAGATCCTGACTTACAAACAACAATAATTATACATTAAATTTAACTTACTAGAAAAGAAAATTTGTTTTTTTTATAGAATTTTAATGTTAGATAAAGAGTTGCTACTGTTATTTTTTTTTTTTTAAGGTGAAGGGGGGATTAAAAGTCCTTTATATCTCACAAGGAAAGTCAATGTTTAATTATTCAACAAAACATTGAGTGCGACCGGTTTCGAAGTATCATCACTTCATCT